GGTGTGTGTGTGTGTGTGTGTGTGTGTGTGTGTGTGTGTGTGTGTGTGTGTGTGTGCAGGCAAGTGATCATGTGCATGTGAGTGTGTATTTGGGCGGGGGGGGGAGGGGGGGTTCTATTCTCTGTAGAGGACTCCAGAAAAAATCATGACAGTGCCAGAGTTCCGTCAGATTTGCACCGGCTCATCAGCTGTGTGCACATGTGTGCCTCTTTACCCAATATTCGGCACACACAGAAACAGAAACGTTCAGCTAACGGACAGACACAAGCGCCTCCAAAGAAAATGAAACAAAATGTGGCCATGCACACACATACCCAGTGGAAACAATACATAAACAGACACACACATATGCCCAGAATAAACGAGATAAGAACTAACAGATGCAAGCGAGCTCTGGAAAACCCATAGCCGACAGACACATTGGAACAACAAAATAAGAAGACGGTGTGCTATCTTTTTGCCTTGTTCTCCTTGTGCATTTGGTCTTCATGTGTGACTTGCAATCAGATAGCGGACCTCTGCAGATATTTGGGGCAATCGGCACCCATTGTCGAGAGCACAGGCACGGATCTGCAGGAAAATGCTATGTGCACCTTTACTGGTCTGCACAGCGCATACCGGCAGAGAACGATCCAAAACAAGCTCATGACCGTACATGCACACCATCCAACAGACGAATAAAAGTTGCATCCGATATCAGCACTCTGCAGAGGACATAATCTCTGGCAACCAATTGTCCTCGAGGAGAAAGGGATCAAGAGCATTTGTTTTTGTAGATATTTCTCCTTAAACATTAAACACCTTGCCAATCTCAGCCAATGTCTGATGTCTTTTGTCGATTTTTGTGATGTTTTGTTGTCATAACCTACAATATATCTGCTGGTTTATGTGGCCTCCATTTCTTGCAGGTTAAGGAGGGCTGGTACGATGGTGTGGGGATTGCTTTCGCCGTCATTATCGTAGTGGTTGTTTCATGTAAGTCCTCAGATTGCTTTACTGTTTTGAATCTTTTGATGGCAAATTGGTCGCACATTCACACCCTAAAAAATTGTCATAGTTACCACTGCATATGATTCATGTTAAGGTTTGATCACTCACAGTGATGTGGAGCTGCGACATGATCACAATGGGCAGCCACATGGGACACTGCAGTAGGTCCCTTGGCTGGTATTGGCCTTGGCTGATATGGGCCGATGTCACGACATGGAATTGCAACAAATCACAATTTCCTAGTGGGGCTGTACACTAAGTTTTTGGCTTTGTAGTTCGTTTTCTTGTTTTGAGCCTTGCGCTGCTTGCGGGACTTGATCCCGTGACCTGTAACTCATTGTTCTGTTTGTAAGTGGTGCGCCCTATGGGGCTTGATCCCTGAGTCTGTCACTAGTAGTCTCTGTTTGGTAGCCTTAGGCCATTTGGCCTTTTCCTTTTGCCTTGTCATAGGTCTAGGTCCCCTTTTCCCCCTGTTTCCTTCTAGATACAGATGAGTCTTGGGTTGTTGCCTTTGGAGTCCCTCATAGGTCTAGACAGAGGGTAGAAGTAGCGGGCAGGAAATCTGGTTCGGGTCTTTTCACGTTTTCGTTTTCGTTGGCTGGGGAAACTCTGCCCGTCCGTTGTTGGAGCGCTGCTGCTCGGTTTTGGGCGAGGTCATCTTCTTCCTCGAAGCCCAGCCATAGCTGGGGTTGGGAAACGAAGTTGAAGATCGCACTGCTGCTATTTTGCAGCTCTGCATGAGAGCTTCCACATGACTGTGTTGTTGGGTTTGGGTGCTGCCATTTTCCACTTGGCAGCCATATCTGTTGTTCCTCCCGGGGAACTTTGTCTTCTTCGAAGTGCTGGATCGGTTGTCTCCTTCTTCATCAGGACTTCCAGCGCTGCACTTCCGTGCGGGTGCTGAGCTGGCGCTGTTATCATTGGGGTTGCTGGTTCAGATTGGCACGTTGTGACAGCTGTGGGGTTACTGCTGCTACGACAGCGATAGCCAGGGGTATGAGGTGGCGAGGAGGAAGAAGAAGACTCCTGCATACTTCGTTGAACACTTGTTTTTTGGCTGTTCGGGGTTGTTGTAAACATGGTTGTGATTCTTGGAACAAGTTCTCTGGATTGATTGGAGGAGGACGAGGGATTGCAGAATTGAAATTCGTTTTTCAATTCTCTGTGTATTTTGAGCTTCCGCTGTGCATATCTTCTCTCCGGTTTTGTGTGGATTTGCCTCCTTCGAGTCTACTCTGCAATTGCATGCGTGTATGGGAATGTGTGAATTCGTTGTGGATTGAAGTTCAATCGGGCACATAACAGAATGACTTTCTGGCCACGCGCATCGGCAGCCTTTTTTGACTGTGCACATTCGTATGGAAAAGCTCTCCAGCTCTGGACAGGCACCACCCACAGCTGAAAAAAGCAAAGTTGCAAACCTTCAGCCCATCATAAAACTCCAGGTTATTGCAGGAACCTCCAGTGCACAGTCCTGCTTTCAGTAGTTTGATCACTCGCAATGACGTTGGGCTGCGAAATTATCACAGTGGACAGCCACGTGGACCACTACAGTAGGCCCATTGGCCGGTATCGGCCCTGGCTGAGATGGCCAATGTCATGGCATGGGTTGACTTCGTGCCGCATGCATGCACAGCCTTTAGTGGCTGTGCACATGCGTATGGAAAAACTTTCCAGCCCTGGACATGGCACCACCCCATAGCTGAAAAAAGCAAAGCTGCAAACCTTCAGCCCGAAGCAAAACTACAGGTTACTGCAGACACCTCCATTACACAGTCCTTCCACTTTCACTGCTCACACTGTAAGCTGCCACGAGCTAGATCAACTTGTTTAAGACTATGAGTAAATACCATACTTGCAAGAGCAAGTCGTGCGTGGGGTTCCCTACGTGCGGTGCACGCGCCCAACCGATCCCGTGCGGCGCACGACATGTGCGGGGAACGACCCGTCACTCCCCTCAGAAAAAATAAGGCCGGGGTCGAAACGGTGCGCTGCAGGCCCCCCGGCAAAATTATAAGCGAGATTAAAAAAAAAATTACAGGAGTACTGCCTCACCTTGCTCCTCCTGCCCTTCCTCATCCTCCATGTCTCCTCCTCCCCTCTCCTTTTCATCTCCTCCTCCTCCTCCTCCTCCTCCTGTTCGTCCTCGTCCTCCTGCCCGCCCTCCGCCTCCTCCTCCTGTTTGTCCTCATCCTCCTTGTCTCCTCCTCCTCCTCGTACTTCCTCATCTTCCATGCCTTCTCGTCTTCTTCCCTTCCTCGTGTCCTCCCCTTCCTTGCCGTCCATGTCTCCTCCTCCCACTCGTCCTCCTCCTCTTGCCCTTACTCTTTTCCCTCTGTCCATCTCTTCTCCTCGCCCGTCTCGACGACGACTCCTCGTCGTCCTCCTCATCCACATCCTGCTCCTCCTCTCCATATCCCCCTCTCCTCCCCATATCCCCATCTTCCGGTCATACGCCCCCCCGTTCCCCCTCCCCAAAAAAGATAAAATAATAATAATAAAATTATAAAAATAAAAAATCTGCACGATTCCGCACAGGCACCCCCCGCACGGAACTTCGCACGAATGTGCGGCTCATGCGGTTGCAAGTATGGTAAATACCAAATAGTCATCTTCATCATGGCATTTCACTAAATTGTAGTTTGTTCGTATGCTGCCTTGTCTATTGTAATATAGCCAAGTGGAAAGTTACCAGTTCTCAGCTTCAACATGCAGAGGTTTGGGTCCTTTAACTCCAGAACTTGAAAACATCAAAACACTACAAGGGTTCAAACCCAGCATTTACTCAAAGGGGATGAGCCACTAGTATGTACAAGTTCACCTGGAAGTGGGATTTCATTCCAAATGCTATTCTCCTTTCCAAGAGGATTGAAGGAGTGGTTCCTACACGCTCATGGCACACCCTGTACTAGTAACCAGATTTTGAGTGCGACCATCGTTTTGCCACAGTAGACTGTTCTGGTTCTCCCCAAACCCCTGAATCCTAAGCCCAAAGGGCGTAAACCGAAAGAGCTAAAACTTAACCACCAGTACCTCGCCCATACATCAGTGGCAATGAAAAATAAAGCCGTGATGTTTCCACTTGAATGAATTTGGACCGGAGCCGGAAGGCCAGCTCGGCCCAGTGCTTCGCAGCTCGTTTACGGCCGCGACTTGCGGAGGGACTGGTGGTTCAACAGAAACCCGCCTTAAAACCACCAGTACATCAAAGGCTAAATGAATTTTGCCGAGCCTGGAAGCAATGGGCACCAGCTCTGGGAAATGTCAGGTTGGCACCGGTACTGCCCTGTGTGCTGGACCTCCCGCCAGCAGATGCAAGTTCGTGGAACAAAGAGGAGTCCGTCATTTTCTAGTTTTCACTCATGTGCCACCCAGGCCCTGAAATGAAAGGGCCTGACAAGGAATGATTGCTCCCCGCCTCTCACGGGGAGTCACATGAGAAACAGCCGCGATTCTTCTTTCATACGAAAAAAACAAAAGAAAACAAAAGAAAGGGCATACTAAGCTCGGGACCTGATTGCCTCGCAGATTCATCCACAGCTGACCAGAACTGCGGCCAGATACATTCTCGAATGTGCTAGCATGAAAATGCTCTGAAATAGAAGGGCCTGACAGGAAATTGATTGCTCCCCGCCTCTCACGGGGAGTCATATCAGAAACAGCCGAGATTCTTTGTTCCTATTTAAAAAAAAGAAAAAAAAAAGAAAGGGCACACTAGCTGTGGCAGACTGCGTAGCCATACGGGCCCTGTAGGACCCGTCCCGGACATTCAGCCTTAAAGCCTAAAACTTAGGAGCTACAGGCCCCGGTCGTTTCAGCCTGAAAACTGAAAAACGAGGGCCTGCAGGCCCTACTCCGTTTCAGCCTGAAAACTGAAAAACGAGGGCCTGCAGGCCCTACTCCGTTTCAGCCTATTTCTGGGTCTTTCAGACCCAGAGTTTTTCCAGCCTGAAACGGGGGGCTATTCTTAGGCCCTGGGCTATTTTTAGGCCCTCATTTGTTTCGACCTGCCCTAAGATTCAGGCACGAAAACTGGGTTTCGGAACAGGCTATTTCTGGCCTGTTCCCACGCCAGCTCGAGCAGGAGCTGCAGCTGCAGCCCCTGCCTCCCTGCGGCATTATTGGCATTAGCACGAGCAGGAGCTGCAGCTGCAGCCCCTGCCTCCCTTCGGCATTATTGGCAAGAGCACGAGCAGGAGCTGCAGCTGCAGCCCCTGC